TGTAATTGCTGAACCCCATAAATACTCTACTTTTTCCTTTATTCTGTGTAAAACTTAGAGGCTAAAATGCACAATGGTATTGTGACAGGTTGGTTGGGTCAGAACTCATTGTGTGACCCAGGATAAGTCATTGAACTCCTGATCATTTATGCCCTGTCCCCCCCTGCTTAACAGTTGTCAGGAGAGGTAAACTGAGAGATAAGAGCAACATCTGACTTACAGAGTTCATCAGAGTTTCTTTTATCGATATCTAAAAGACTTATTGTCATAGTTAATAAATGAGGAACACTTCTAACTTTAAAAATGTTCAGATCAGATTGAAGCTAAGCATCTCATGGAAAAGAGATGCTGATTCCCTTCGCCTGCACCCCTCCTGCAAAACTAGGCATAGCCATTTTAATTTCATTTCTAAATCCAAATAGCCTGGCTCTGCTACCCTTTTTGCTACTTTTTAAATTACTTGAGCCTGTTTTCTTTTCAGGGAAAAAGTTATGTATTAAAAATATCTAAAATCAGTAATAGAAAACATACATAACTCCATTTACTCAAACGCATGTTGGATGCATATTTTGTTTGTATTTTTCTCAAAAATAACTGACTCAAACCATTGTACTGCATGTGACTTGGAGAACAAGTATCCCTTGTCATCCACCAGGACATCGTGGAGTTTTAAGGGTCTTCTCTGATGTAGGCAGAAAGGAAATGACTGCCAGTGCTGGTGGAAAACAAAGTAAGTGCGACAGCGTATAAGGGGATGGACAACTCAAGAAGGAAGTAACCGTGCTTTCTGGGAGCTGAGAGCTGAATCCTGAAGGAAGTGAAGTTTCCAGGCATAAGAGAGCAGAGGAATTTACCAGATCAAAGGAGCCTTGTGAGAAGCTGCCAGCCTGCTGGAGACCTAGAGCAGTCTGGTTGTCCTGGCAACTGGGGATGGTGGGGTTCAGTGAGTGAGCAGAGAGGTTGGTGGGACCTGGCTGTGTACCCAGAGTTTGTTATCCGGGCTGCAGAGCATGGAATTTTTTGTTGGCAGCGTAGAACCAGGAACTAAATGATACCGGTTACACAACCAAATCCCTGCTTTCTTCCTTCCTTAAGAAAATGTTATTTAAAATCCAATTTTTAAAAATCTTCATATACAAGCCAACTACAGTCTCTATGAACATCTCTCAAAATTGTCATCACCCCCAAATACTTTTAAACGCAGTTCGGAGTTATTTACTGGCATGCCTGCAATACGTGTCATGCAGTAACTCCAGGGATGGCAGATTCCTCCTGGAGTGGCTGGAGGTAGAAGTCCTTGAAGCCTCCATCTCCAAGCGGAAGGAATGTGTTTGGCCCTGCTGGATGCCTGCGGGAGGCTCTGGTGAGGAAAGCCACTTGTTTTTAATCTCTAGTGGTTCCTTAAATAGCTCATTGGCGTCACCCAGTGGGGAAGTGCTAGAATCCGGCTTTGGGGCCTAGAGCTTGAAGGTGGAAACCAGTGGTAGGATCCTCAGGTTTCTGATCTGCCAATTTCAGTCATCTTCTCAGGTAGGAATGTAAGAGACATCCCAGGAAACAGGGCTTTTTCCTGTATATTGAGGCAGCACAGTGTTTTGAGGAAAGTGCAGTCTCTGATCATCATAGACTAACTCAGTGATCTTGGATAAGTCTGTATCTGTTGGGAGCCCTTGAAATGGAAATTGAACACACATGCAGGGCTGCAGCATGGCCGGGGCATGGCTGACCCGAGAACAAAGAGATGTCTCAAAGGGCAAGGTAAGTCCACAGCTGAGAGCACCTGGCCCCAATTCCAGTTAACTAAATAAAGACTGTAGCTACAGGCATCTCACTCCGGTAGTAAAGTACAGCATGGAGATCTTCTCCTAAGGTACTTCTAAATTAACATAATCTGTTACTTGGAAAAGTCCTTGAAACACTCCCAAGGTCTGTTCAGTTTCTACTCTAACCCTTTCCTTGTTTGAAAAACTAAATAAATACAGGCTGCCTGGAGGCATCCTTGTCTTAGCCCTCAGAGTCTTGAAATCTGCAGAGGGTTTTGATCCTCCTGGAGCTCTAAAATCATACCACTTGTCTCATTTATTTAAGCCTTCACTGTACATCTTTTGGGAGATTGGGGATCTAGGCCAGGTCCCGGATACCTATCCTCAGTGAAACAGTTCTGCCTTCCTTAGAAAAGCAAAACAAGTAAAAAACTCTTCCATATTTTGAGTACCCATAGTCTTTCAGTACCATAACTGTTTTAGTATTTATTCATGAGGTTCTGAGTTCAAACTAGCATCAGGTTGAGGTAAAGGAGAAAATATCTGGCATTCTTGAATATTCACCAGTGACTTGCAACCAATATCTATGGAGTCCATGTTCATAAGATTGTCTCGGGGGCTTTCAACTGAAGCCTAATGATGTGGTGGAAAGAGCTGGCCTTAGCTGCCACAGCTGAACTTAAATCCCCACCTGCCTCTGTCTACGTGACTGATAAGTTACTCTGTCCCTAAGTCTCTGTCCTTATCAGTAGAGTGAACTTGGGAAATCCTACTTCTCGGGGATAGAAGGGTAAGGGTTGGGACTGGGGATATAGCTCAGTGGTACAGTGTCTATGTAGCAAGCACAAGATTGTGAGTTCAGTTCCTGGTACTGTCCCCCGCCCCAAAAAAGAAGAGCAAGATTCGCATGAGGTAATACCTCTGGGGCAGCAAGCACTGGGACTGTGCTTGGTGTTCCCACGGGCCCTGCATTTCACCTGTTTACCTGGAGCAAACCACTGTATGCTCTGAGGCCCAGCATCCTTCTGCCTAAGATTTTAGTTCCTTCTCAGAGTTACACGAATCCCATGGCATAGCCATAGGGAAAGCACTTACAGTACTTAACAATATAGTACTCAACAAATGCTAAGTGTTTCCTTTTTCCCCTAAAAAGTACTGATCCGTTTCAAATACTTACGATGTTAAAGTCATGTTCATTTTAGGGCTGTCACAGTTTATTTCCATCCCTCACCGCAGGTTCACAGGTCCTTATTTACCTGTCCATGTCGTGACTCCAGCCACCGCAACCCCAGATCTGTGGTCAGGTCTCATCCCCGCCCCACCCCCGCCACTGACCAGGCTGCTCTAAACTTTAGATCTGTCTCTGTGGGTGCATTATCATAGGTATCTTCCCTGACCTCCTCCCCCAGCAAGAAGTGACTGTTGCCTGCAGATTTACACAGCTGAAACACATCTTTCTCTTGAAGAGATAAAGGGAACTAATGTACATTGAGTCTCTCTCTCTCTCTCTCTCTCTCTCTCTCTCTATATATATATATATATATATATATATATATATATATATATCTTAGCACATTTAACCTTCCCGTGGCTTTCTCAGGTCAGTATCACTTCCTTCACCTTGAGGTAAGGAATGTGAGGCCTATTCATTTCTTGATTAAACAGATATTTTGAACATTGATATCCAGGCACTGGGAATGCATCAGCAAACAACAGACTCAGCCCTTCTTTCTTGGATCCGACAGCATCTTACATAGGATGAATCTAGGAGACAACAATGAAATTGATCATAAGCTGTTCTCATGGTGAAGGGTCAAGGACTAAAAAAAATGGCCCTAAATGGGAGATATTTTAGGTAAGACCTGAAGGCTTGAGATCAGATGGACAGGGAATGTGCAGCCAAGGTGGGATTGAACTGTGGGTTAGCTTGGTTCCTCACGTCTCCTGGCCTCTCCTACACATACCTGCACCAGTGTCATAGTGTCTTTCTTGTGGTCCTCATCGCTTTCTTCCCAGTAGAATGTAGATCCCCAGTAGAATGTAGCCGTCTCACCTCCCAGGCACCTAGTATATGCATAGATAAATGGTCACTTAATGTTTAAATATGCATATTTGTGTGTAACTGCCCTATTATAGTATAGGGATACAACACTACATAGATTCTGCACTGCATGTTATTTCTTTAGCAAACATATTTGTGTGGTTTCCAAACAAAAAGGCCTTCTTTACACCCAGACACTTTCACATCAAGCTCCTCTGACTCAGATATTTCCTGTTTTGTGGTTGGAGTGATACAAGGTCAACATGCAAGAAAAATAGCAGATGCAACTTGGAAGCAGCTTAACTGTTTAATTATAATGACAGCCTGGTCCTCCCTCAATGCTGAATGGCCCAGGGCTCATTTTCAGCCAGCTACCCAGACTGTTCTTAGAGATGAAAGAGGAGTCACTACCCTGTGCCCAGCATTGGGATGGTGTCGACAAGGGTGAAGCATGTGGAGTGACTCAGTGTTCTTCTCAGTGAAACTCAGTAGCTGTCAGCCTAGTAAGCAGGATGTAGCAGGGGTGGGCACTGGGCAGGAGCAGAGTCTGCAGAAGAGGAAGGGTGGCACCTGGGGTCTGCACGTTCCCTCAGGGGCCGGGCAGAAGGTGTCTGTGGGTGAAGGACCAGGTAACTGTGTATCAGACACGTTGCTATTTTCATTTCCATGAACATTGTCTTTACTCCTGCTTTTCTTTCCCGCATTGGTTATTCCTTTACCCATTTTTGATTGCAACTTAGCTAAAGAGAAGTTAATCCCTCATCTAAGAGGAGCTGCTGTCCAAATCCAGTGATCATATCAGCTGGTGAGGGATGTGTAGCTGGGCTTGGGGGGACACTGGGAGTGGTGGGGACAGGGGTAGCCTGCAGGGTACCTTCTTCTTCCAAGCAGATAGGTATCCTTCCACACCAGTGCTCTGTGGCTCTATGTCTTGCGTTTTTTGTTTTTTGTTTTTTTTTTTTTAATTAAAAGCAAGCAAGTTGGATTTGGGCAGAATAGTCAAGTTTTTAAAGCAGTGTGTTAATAAAAAGAAAGAAATCTGCAGGCAACATAGAACACATCCTCATGCCGAGCCTTATTCATGGGTGGCACTTGGAACCTTTCACTGAAAGGCTCGGAAGTTCCCAAGAGTATTTTCATGAACCATTGCTCTGCTCTTAGTTTCTCCTAACTGTCCTTCTCCCCTTACTTTCCAGAAAGAGATGACGAGCAGGATGTGTCACTGACACTCCATCTCATCCCGCAGAAGAAAGCAAAGCCTCCTGGAGTCCCATGTGGACAGTGGGTGGACTTCTGGCTGAGAGGTCTCGGCGAGAGAGCTGAAGGCAGGCGGGGACTCCTGAGACCTTTCCCACTCACGTCACATGCTCTTACCCTCAGAGTGCTGCTAGCCTAGACCTGCGGACCAAGCAGACCACAGCGTGCAGAAGGACAGGCTCAACCCCGCCACCTCGGACTTGCCCAGCCGAGGGCTCAGCACTTCCTTGCAGGTCACAGTTCTACCTGTGACCTGCCGCCTAAGCTTTACTGGAATTCAGGTTTTGAGACTGAGATGTTTATTTGTACCTTTCTACTTCTCTGTCTTGTTAGCTGGCCAGCTTTTCTGTCATTTGTTTCCCAAGGCAGAATGAATTTTGGGACTTTGGACCCACAGCAAGTGTTTCCGTAGCAAGTCTTCTTCTCGATCTGTGAAGTCCTTCTCTGATCCCGTGGTTTAGTATTGCACAGAGCCGTGGCACTGTGAGAGATCTGAAACCAGATCTGGTAGCCTTGTGCCGTTTCCCTAAGGAGCTGTTTTCTTGGGGACCACGCCACAGGCTAGCTTGTCTCTGCCTCAAATGGTTGTCACATTCTACCTATAGTAAAGAGCCTGGCAGTTAGCAGAAAGCTAACAAATTACCAGCTTGTCCAGATCAGAATGTATTTTTTTATAATAACCATCATCCCTTGACTCCCCAGTCCACATTCCTTCCTATTTCCAGAAGAGAAAAGTGAAAGAAAGTTACAAATGACTAAGAGTGACCAGTGTGTGAGCCCTGAGCCAGATTAGTGCAGTGTTTGTTCTTTACTCACAGGCAGGAAGCCGTGGCTGTCTCTGTGGAATATTAGTATTTCAGTGATAAAAGAAGACAGTTGGGTATTCAGTGTGAGCAGATTAAATCCTCGGTCCTAACAGTCACTCCTCCACTGTCACATTGTATCATGGCTCACAGTTAATTCTGCCCTTGTGATTGTGCCGCAGAGGCGACAGTGGAGCCAGAGCTTACTGCCCTGTGCCAGCCGTTCCAATGCTCCCTTCCATTGGACGGAAAGATGCATTCTCTTCTACATTCTGACTTTGGAAACCTGAGTGTGGTTAATGAAATGTTGCATTCGCTGATTCATCATAAAATTTTGTTCCTGACGGTCCAGCCTATGACTAGCGGGTAATAATACTTCAATGACATGTGAGTTTAACAAAGTACCAGTTGGTGGAGAGAAGTAGACAAGAATGTATTAGTGCATTTTAATGTAGTAACAGTTAAAAGATAACTGAACAACTCTGAATTTACTTTACATAATACATTCAAGGCACTTGTGGCTGCCTTGAAAGTCTAGTAATCATGAATCCTTTGTGCAAACTAAAAAAGGTTGACTATTTAGAGACAGTAGCATTCTATGTTGACCTAACCGTGCAGATCAACTCTTCCTTTATATCTCATACAAGTTGCCTAATCAAAGCCAGATGTTGCTACCTCTCTCCATCTGCTCCAGTCAACAATAAAACATTTTCCTTGCTAACTTTTAGAAGTCAAGATCAGCAAAGATTTTTTCAGCATCACTTTTGGCTGTAAGAATATCTGATTGTCCTAGGTTCCAGAAAAACAAGGGCCCCTCACTTGCGAGCTACACAATGATACAATACCACAGGGGAAGGCAGCGTGGTGGCACAGAGAAATGACAGCTTGGAGCTCATTGTCTCAGAGATTTTTTTTAAGCTTTGTACCCTGGAAAACAACAGATTTTTGCATTTAAGAAGTTAAATATGTTTCTTACATTTCAGTGATCTTAATCAAGTGGGAGGTTAGACTCTGAAGACATTTATTGTTAATTTTTAATGTCATTTTAGTGGTTTGTATGAAATCTCCACTCGACTTAAGAATTAAAATGTTTATAAATTTTTAGAACAATTTCTTCCTGGTTATATTGATAATTGTACTAATCAACTCTTCTAGAGTAACGTCTGGCAGATACTCATGTTCTTTAATTACAGGATGTTCCTATTACAGCAGAACTTTGTTTGGCAAATTCTGTTGAAAATCTTCACAGGCAATTTCTGTCTTTGGCCTGACTTCATCTTCCATGCATCTCCTACTGAAATGGAGGATCTGAGCTCTTCCACTGGGCCTCTTTGGCCCACTGGGCACAGGATGGCCACTCTGCTTCTCCTTCCTAACTGCACCCCTCCACGCCACCTTTTTCCAATATTTTCAGAAATTTCAAAGTGGAAATTTCAATACTGAAAGATTACAAGAGCACCCTTAAATTCATCAATTGTTAATGTCTTCCCCATTTTTATTTCTTACTATACATATTCCTATTGCTGAACCATTTAAAAATAAACTGTAGTAATCAAGACACCGTAAAGTACTTATGTTCCTCCTTACTAGTAAGAACTTTGTCCAATCCACTTTCTTTTTTTTTTGTCTTTTTCCTTTTTATCAGTACCAGGGATCGAAGTCCAATCCACTTTCAGTGACATTATCTCCTCCAAGAAACTGAGCAAAAACATGACATACTTAGTATACAAGCCATGGTCAAAAGTCTCCAGTTGCTATCTATTCTTTATAGTCTGTTTCTTTTTGAATCTAGGATTCAGTCAAGAATCACACACGCATTAACTTGCCTTTGTCTTTAGTTTTCTTTAATGGACTGGAGTTCCCCCTTTGGTGTGTGTGCTTGTGTGGTGATAGATGTTTGTGGAGGGCTTTAGGGTGTGTGTGTGTGTGTGTGTGTGTGTGTATGTGATGTGGTATGTCTTTCATGACACTGACATTAAAGAGTTCAGGTTGGTTTGTTTGTAGACTATCCCACAATTTGGAGTCTTTGTGTTTGTTTTGTTTTTCTGATTGTTTCTCATTATGTGATTTAGGTTAGACTTTTTTTGGAAAGAGTAGTTCATCTGTTTCCTTCCTATCATATCTAAAGGTCTCTTCACAATATCCAGATTGATCAGTGTGCTCAGGCGTCGTGTCCCTGATCCAGTCGTTATTATAGAGTTCCATCATTTACTAAGTTCTGAAGAGCTGCACACATACATTCTAGAGAGTGGAGTCTATACGTGTATGAGTCCACTTCTTAGTATTATCAAAGGTCCACGATAAAGATCATATCCACTACAGCTGGATAGATAGCAGTGCCCAAGACTCACCTTTTCACTAATGAAAGGACAGGGAAGCAGGAGGAGCTTCCAGGTGCAGACAGCACACAAGTATCTTGGATAATGAGAACTTCCATGGTCAAGCAGCTTTGATTCTCCCGGTGACTTCCCACTCAGATCCATGGTATAATCACAGAGAACATGTGTTCTTGTGGAGGGTGTCCTTGTTAAGGACTCCAGTGAACTGTAGTCCTCCAAGGACCACAGCACTTATTTATGCTGAATTATGTATGAAGTGTTTATCTGGCATCTTTGTAGGGAATGGCAGAGGAGTTGGGGAAGATGGCTAGGGATAAAGCGTCTAACAAAGCTCCTCAGTGGAAAAATAATAGGCAAAGAAAGACTAAGCTAGAGTCATTTTCTGCATTTTAAGTTGTTAATAGTCTCTTGTTGGAGTTTTCTCATTCCTAAGGGCCCAGAGTCTCAGAGCCAGAATAAATGGAAGAAACTGGCAGATTTCTTAATCTCTCCCTTCCGCCTCCCAAACCGGGTAACATTTTGGGTGCGAACTTGTTTTCCTCTCACCTGCTTCAGGCATACAACTCCTACTGCAGCCCTGGCAGAACCCCCAAAGCTTTACAGTGTCTGAATCCCTGGTCAACGGGAGCTGAATTTTCTGTAACTTTCACCACCTTTTCTAGTGTCCCACCTTTGAAAAGGTCCAATGACTATATGGGATAAATAAAAATTTAATAAGAACTTTTTTTGCACACCCCTTAAATATTTGAAAATACCACCAGTGGCCTTTAGCTTTCCTTCTGTTGGAGCCCCCCACGTACCCCCACAGTGTCCCTGGGAAGTCTCTGTCTGGTTGTTAACTGTTCCTGTGGTCAACTAGGAAGCTTCCCAGATTCCCCAGTGTCTACACTTCAGATGTCACCCACCATGAGCCTGCTCGGAAACTGTTCCCTGCTTCTTCAAAGCCATTTATGTCTTTGTGAAGTACTGACTTGCTATTTAGACACCTGAAAACATTTTTTTCTATTTTAAGTTCCACACAGAATTCTTAACTTTTATATTCCACCATTTTGGCTTCCCTTTTTGGCTAGTCTTTCCTCCCTCTTTTAACATACCTCCTTGGATGAGCCTATTCCGAGTTCGGTGACAGTGTTTGTTTTTAACCATCTCTTTGAGAAAACGTTAAGGAATGTAAGCAGAGGCCCTCCTAGCTTGTTGCGATTTATGCTGGTCATCATTCTGACCATCGGTGGAAGCACCTTCCTTTGTGTGGTCTCTAACCTGGTGTTCCTTTCTCACCTCATGGGTATCACAACTGTGAGAAAAAGAAACTTTGTAAGAAAAATATGCCTGTGTCTTCAAGAAATGAGCACCAGGTCCTAAAAGGAAATAGAGCATCATTAGGATAATGCTGTTGTCATTCTTGCTCCGCTCATTTTGGTCTTTGAAGAAACTGATGATTCTCTTCTAGAATGAGCCAAACAAAGTATGTTTTGCAAGTAATGATCATTCTCCTGCTTTAAATATATATCAACAGAAAACCTTTGTAACAGGCTATTTTCCTCTGGACGGGTTTTAATTCCGAGTAAGAATTTTCAATGAATATGTAAGAATTTGTATAACATAGAGGGGAGAGCCCATTTCTAATGAAACAGGTAAGCTATTTTACTAGCCTCTAGTATTCCGATTTCAAAGTTTTCCTGTATCGTTTTTACATATGTTTGAAAAAATTTTGACTATGTTTTTAGTTCCATTTGTGATTAAATTAAGAATTTGAATATAAAACAGACTAACACAATTAAATCAATTAGTAAAGTAAGAGAAAATTAAAAGGTATTTATGAAATCAGTTCTTTGTGAGCTTAGAATTCAAATGTCACAAATAAAAGACATGTAACTATCATTTGGTCTGTCTTTTTTAATGCTTGATTTATTTCTTTATTTATTAGGCTCTTCATTTTCCAATGGTCCTGAAACAGGTAAACAAAAGAAAAGCTGTTAATTCTACCAAAAAGTTCAACATTTATTTTAAAAGACATGTGCACATATTTGCATTTTAGCAGTTCTTTCATCTTATTACAGAACATTTCAGGAAGGCTTCAGGCATTTGGGTACCTTCTCAACAGATTAAATGTTGTACATGCTTTGTCTCTTGCAATAAGATTGAATAGTAATTTCATAATAATCTGTTTTGCAGACATAATAAAATTAGACCATAAAAAACTTATTCACCAGAGTACAGAAACTTTAGATTTAATCTCTGGTTTTTCGCTGTCTTATTTGTCTTACCTCAGGTAGTTTAATTGTTCCCAGTATCAGACTTCTGAACTACAAACTGAAATTTTACATTTGTTTCTATATGATTTATTGTTTTGGAGAATAAAGAAAGATAATATATTTTAAGAGGAGTGTATAAAATTCAGTATATCACGATACTGGTAGCATTCTTCTAGTTACTATATAATAATTATGAATGATTCCAATAATAGTCACCACTACCTATAACAACAACTGTGTCTGATAAAACCTGTTCCATTGAGTAAAGTGTGACTACGAGGTGATTTCTAGACACAGTGAGGAATGCAGTTTCTGGGACCTCATCAAAAAGATAAGGGTCTCCTGTCCTCAGTTGCACTGTTGGAAATGTATGTCACCATGTGGCTTCTTTTACGAAATCTGATTTGGCAATGCCAGGCTTTTGTCCACTGATGGCAAAAGCTGGCTGAGAAGTGGATGACCCACTGCGATGGTCCGTACACTGTCCACACCCTCTGCACTCCCTCCCAGCTGTGAAGCTGGTTGTCATCACCATTTGTTTTCTTATACTAAGAAGCTTTGATAACTACACTTCTTCCCCTTGAAAGATTTCTGGTTGCAGCCACCTGGTTTTCACCATGTCTAAGGAAATCGCTATATTCTTTTTTAAACATCACCACATACATTTAATTTCTGCTGTCGTCTTAATTTTTCAAGTAGCCAACACTGTACTGATGATGAGGGCTGGGGTGTAGCTCAGCAGCACACACCTGCCTGGAGGTCATGGTTCAATCCCTGGTTACGGGAAAAAAAGAGCTGAAACATTGTATTAATGATGAAGAATGAAAAATCTTAGAGACAATCAATCCAAACCAATGCTCTCAGTTGCCCTACACACAAATTCATGTCCTCAGAAGAGATTCACTTCCACCAGGCCTGTAATCCCAGCACTCAGGAAGCTGAGGCCCGGGGATTGCTGCAAGTTCAAGCCGGTCTGGGCCACACAGTGAGTCCAGGTAAGCCTGAACTACCTAGCGAGACACTGTCTCAAAAATAAACAAACAAAACACCAAACTGACTTCCATAATGGAAACTAAGGTGATCAGTAAAGCTGTCTAATCTTTAAATCAGCCTTAATGTTTAACCTTCAGCCCTGCTTCCAAGGCTTATTTACTTATTTACTATATTGACCAAAACAATAAATAAATGTCTTTAAAAACGGCAATTGCAGTGTCATTTATAATAATTATAAATTCGATCTGATTTCATTGTTAAATAAGTTTTGGCAGAACATCTTATTTTAATTGAAACTCATTGTATTAATGTGGCACTCACCATGTAATTCAGTTTTCATGAAGACGCCAAGCAAAAATGGTAATAATTAAAACTAAATGAGGAAGTCAAAGTCAATCTAATTAAACTGTGATTTTATTTACAGCTGTATTACTGTATACCAGGGGAAATGATATCATATAATTGAGACAAGCCCTCACATATCAAGTCAGCAAGGGATAACAGGCTCAGCCCGTGACGGTGAAGCTTTTAGAGCTTCAATGATACAAGCAGCCCGCTGCGGCATGCGTGCCAGAGCTTTGCCACCACTACTCTAAGATTTTTCAAGAAATTCACAAGACACAGAGAAAAGTAGGTATCAACGTAGCACCGCATTTCCTGGGATGACTTCCCCACGATTGTGCATGTGTGTCTCAGGTGTATATATCTGATATTGCTATAAGCTGCACACTGGCCGATACTCACAAAAACCATGAAAATTTAGGACAGCTCTAGGTTCTGGTTTATTTTGTCTAGAGGTTGCTTGTCTGGCTTAGGGCTGTCTTGATCAGAAGTTTGATCCTACAAAGGTACAGCACGGATGTTTGGGCCACGAGTCTATGTGAAGACAGAAGACTGGTAAAGAAGCGTGGCTTTCGGGTCAGGATGAACTCCAGTGGGAGAAGGTGACAGTCTGGGAAGTGAGGAGCTGGCTTGCCCGCCCCAGCTGTGGGTGAGAACACAGCCCCGCTCCGCTCAAAACCCCTCTGTACTCCTCCTTCTATGCAGCTTCTATGCAGAGTAGAGCCTGGGCTCTCAGACTCTCTCCTTTTCCTCCCGCTGCAGCCCCTGGCCTCCTTGCTTGCCTCAGTCATGCTGAGCAGCGCCCTGGCTGCTCCCTGGCCTTCGCGTTCTGCTCCTGAGAGCTCCCTTTCCCCTAAGTCTTCTCAATGCCCCCTCTGCGAGGCCTCTGCTAATCACACCGGCTTGTTAGAGCCCAGTGCTCCCTTTTCTTTGCTTACATACTTTCTTTCTTTATTAGGTCTACTGTTTGTTGTGTCTTTTCCCAGTAGAACGCAAACTCCATGTCATCAGAAGTCTCCATTTTGTTTATTGATGTAATGCATGCACCTAAAATACCATGACTGGGTCATAGGATGTGCTCTATAAACACCTGAGGCATGAACAATTTCACATGGCAAATAGGAGCCTAGGTAAGATTGAACTTAGGGAGAGAACTTAAACAGCATTAATTTGATGGTGCTAATACTGAAAGCTTATATAGTAACTAAGTGCCATTGGATGCTTATGATGAACTAAGTGCACTAAGCATTTTACATGGATAATCTCATGTAATATTTGGGGCAACACCATGAGGTAGATGTCTATTTTTGTACTCATAGTCAAGGTGTCTAAGTAATTTGTTCAAGTCATATGCAAGAACGTGTTGAAGCTGCACTTAATGCTACACCAATGTGCCCAGAACCCGCGTTGCTAATGTGGGAGTTAATGCCGTCACTCACTTGGCACTGGACGCCTTGGAAGACTATCTCAGTCTCTGCACACCTATTCCACGTGACTTAGCAATTCTGTGTTCCGTTTCTTTCCTGGTGATGTAATGTGGTTGATTTAGTGTTTCTACAATCAGTGCCTCTGAGATCCAAATGTGTTTCACAGGATGTATGTTCAGGTTTGCAGTGAGGACTCAGAGATTAGGTAGAATGATGAATCTAATGACACCAAGAAGGCGGGGATGCCCAGCTTACTGAGCACTTTGAGAGGAAGACTAGGGGCCCCGAATTTCCTTGAGGGAAGAAGAGACAGATGCCACTCTACAATCCAAAGCAGAGTTTTCCTTTAACTTGAAAGGGTCATAAGAAAATTCTAGGTTTTGCTTCTTGCTGTAAAATGGAAATGAAGCATATACATTTCATTCATAGGAATCCAAACAGCCTTTTTAAAAAAACTGAAACAAGATATTATCTTTGCTGATGAGTCATCTGCAGAACTAACAGTTAATTTTAACTAATTTTTCTCTTCCACTAAAAAACTCACTGGCATTAATTTTCTAGACATAGTATGAAACATGTAGGTATATAGACAAAACTATGCAACTGATAGGCTAGAACAATATCTGACTGTAATATTTATTGACTTGTACATTCCATTAGCTAGTTTTAGCAAGGACTAGAAATTGCATTATATGTTAAAAGCATCACTATTTGATTTATCTGGCTTGCGTGGCTTCCTTTGAGGTCAGTAGAAATTACGCAGACCATAAATGTTCTCCAGTTCCTGGTTTCATCAGGAGCTTTAATATGTCAGGATGTAATGCAGGCTTGCATTTTAAGGCTGGATGAAATAAATATTTATGAAATAAATATCCGTAATATTGCTGTGTCCTGTTTCCATTCAGAAGCAACTGCCCTATTCTCTCCTGAGTCTGCAAAAGAACTTAAATGTGATGTAGACTGAGAAACAAGACAGAAAAGTGCTTAAGCCCCTCCCCTTTTGCAACAAGGGAAGAAAGACAAGTGAGATGGTTTTTAGATGAACATCCTGTGCCGCTCATAGATTTCTGAATTACTGTGTTAGAAATGATGAGGAACAGAGCAACTGGTGTGATGAAGTGCTTTATGGGAAATCAGAAACCATTTTTGGGAAAGAAAGATTCAGAAGTTAGGTCAACACTGAGTCAAGCACTGTGCTGGACGTGGACCTACAATCTCAGTGTCATCTTCACTCAGTCTGTCAAGGAGAGAGAGATGGGGGCAGCCAGGGATCCGATGCACATGGAGAAGCCAAGCACTGACTGTGTGCTGGGAGCCATGGAAAATCCCTGCCCTCATAACAGGGAGGCACCATGCAAAGCATTTTATTTGGATAATCATGAGGCAGGTTCTATTGTTGTTACTATATTATACAGGAGAGGACACTGCAGCTTATTCAAGCTCATGCAAGTGGATAGTGACTGGAAGTCACAAAGACTAGTCTCAAGGTGATTAATCCAGCACACCAGTAAACCTTAGGATGGCAGGAATGTTTGCATTGCTTTGCATTATTCTACTTACAAGCTGGGCCTCAACATTCTAACAACACAAAACAAAAGGTAAGGATCCTGAGGGCATCTAAATTTGTAACAGTCCTACAGAGAGATGTCGTTCTGTTCAAAACAGCTTCATGTCTTACTGCAAGATTTTTGTTCTTCAAGAATTAACAGTCTTGCATGATATAACTTTCAATCAGCTGAAATAAAGAAAATCTCACTTCCCTGCCTATTGTGATGAAGCAAAGTTCATTGTTCATGGTTTTACAAAATTATAATGATGTAGCTAATCATTTATTTTACGTAATGGGTGAACCTACAATTCAGATTGATGGAAAATACTCAAGTTAAAATTTGGTAAGAGTTTATGCTCAAACTGTGACAACTATAGCTTGTAGAATTTATTGGCATTTAATGGATTCTTTCAAAGTATACAATGACTCAGTCAATGTTCTTTGAAACTATATTTTGGCCCATTTTATAACTGTCTTATATCTTCATTTTTATGTCATTAACTTCATTACTTATTCTACTTGTACTGACCAACCTAGTAAGTTGATCAACTTTGCCTCTTTAAAATATGAATACTTGAAAATCTTTTACCCATTTAAGGCATGATGACAAGCTATATAGAGAGAAAATGTATGAAGTAAATTCAGCATACAAATTCAGCCCAACAAATGACTCTTAAATTTCTTCTTGCAATACAATTTAATTTTCTTATTATGTAGATGAGCAGATTCAAGGTTAGAGAATAGATAATTTCCCTGTGATCACACAGGTAAGAAGTAAGTGGATCTAAGACCTAAATTTATCCCTTCATGCCACAAATTTGGTGGGAGAAGGTACAGAAAGGGAAGATGGGTTTATGACGAAGGTGTCCTCAAGGAATATGAAATCATGTGAAAAATAAAACTAAGGCATAGATTAGAAAATATATTTAATATATACTTAGTATGAGAAAAGAATCCTTAAGAGTTTTTACAGTCTTAAAACAAGGTTTAATAGAAAGAAAATAAACACATACTTTTTTTAAAAAATATGTTTCTGCCATCTGAATATTAGACAATGTGCATATGTGGAAGGGCCAATTAGAGCCCACAATAGTAACTTCTAGAAAGGACATATTCAATGTTAGTTTGTACAGTCTCTTCCCAACAACACCAAGCACATGGCTTAGAAAACACACATGTGTCACCTCATAGGTTTGGAGAGCTGAGTCCTAGATTAGGTAGCTACAAAATTGGTTTCTTCTGAAGTTTGTGCCGAGGGATCTGTTCCAGGACCATTGCTCTCCAGTGGGCACTGGAAATCACTGGCACCCCTTGGCATCTGCACCATCATCTGGTCTCTGCCTTCATCTTTATGTGACATTCGCATGCTCTGCGTTTCAGTGTCCAACAAACCCTCTGATAAAGGAACCTGTGACACTGAGCTAGAGCCCTGTCCTTCAGGATGCCCTCATCTTCAACACATGTGCCACAACCACTTTTAAACATGGTCACATGTGGAAATCCTGTGCATTAGGACTTTTGCATGAGGATTAGGGGGGTGGGTATGATTAAATTCCTAATTTCATAGGTAGAAAGAAGACTCATTGTGGAACACATGAAAATTAGAACCAACTTTTAAACAAATTTAAGTAGTTTCATTAGACCTAGTGTTTTAAAAAATATATAGTATCTGCATTCTACCAATTCAATTACTTGTTGGGAGTGTTTGTCATATCAAAGACAAAACTGTCTCAGCACTAGAGAAGGACTCAGCAGATCAAAAGATATGTTGGAAAATACTAAGTTCACTTTTATTTTTTATTTTAAAGAGGGTAAAACAAGATAGAATAAAGCAGATCAGAAGAAAACAATACAAGTGACACAGGAGCAAGACAACAGGAGATCAACAGTGGCTATCATAATGTCTCTTATTTTCTTCAAAATAGTTATCTATAACTTCACATACAGTGAATTCAAACAAAACAAAATAGTATAAAACTGATCAAAATAGAAGAATGAAAGCATTACAGGCCTTCAAAACCAGACAATAGAAAAACCAACAATGGCTATCATAATGTCTCTTGTTCTCTTCAAAATAGCTGTCCATACCTTCATATATATTGAAATTAAATAATATCAAACAGACTAAACCACTCTGAACAAAGAATGAAAGCATTACTGGATTTCACAGCATGATGATAGGAAATCAGCAATGGCTACCATACTCTCTTTTTCTTTAAAGTAGCTGTTCAGAACATCACACATAATACTATCAATTCTCATAAAAGTTCACTTTTAGTTCTTATGTTCTCTAAACAGGGGCCAGAGGTTTAGCTCAGCAGCACAAGCACCTGCCTGACAAGCGTGAGGTCATGAGTTCAACCCCCAAAACTAAAAACCAAACCAAAACAAAACAACGGTTTGTAAACTAAATGAGGTGTGAATTTCACTTTTTTATGGAGCATCCACATTGTGCCACGCCCTCTCTATGCTGTAAGTATGAAGAGCTTTCTCCCACACTGTTGCTTACATTTGGAGACACAGGGTGTGAACGTGTTTTCTGTAGCAGGCTCTGTCTGCTCAGTAGCACGAGCTACACACAGTGATACCACCAGATGTCGCCATCTCACCCTGAAAGGTTCATCTCCTGCTTAGTGGCCGAGCTGCCTCATTCAAAGCTGTGCAGCAGTTTGTAGCAACTCAGGGCATACACACTTCAAGTTTCTCTCTTTTTTCTGTGGCACCTGTTAGAGATGACAAAGAAAAGGATTCCAAAGGCCACAAGCCACTTTTCCCATTCATTCGCACCTCTCAGGAGACTGAGTTAACATGTTCTAGAAGTAAAATAGCACTATGCATGCGACAACTTACTTCCCTTCTGTTGACTAAATCTGGATCCTGGACCTTGCTTGCCTGCCTGTCTTTGCTAGTTCTCAAATCTTCTATTTCATCTCTAGTCCTCTTAAGCAGTTAGGCGAGAGTGAGTCCACTCTTCAGGACAGCAGCCATGGTGAGCCACAGATGGGACCTGATTTGTGAGCTTTCCCTATGCTGAAAACACATTTTTGTTATTTTGAAGTCATGCTGCTTTGTCCTGCTGCTTGTGTCATTTTCATTACGAATGTCCTGAGAAGTTTAGAAGCTATTATCAACAATAATTAAAAATTATAAGAGGAGAAAGCTATGTAATCCTTTAATATCAAGAGGAGAAGAAGGGACTTCCAGGAAAATGGCAGAGTGGTGAGCAGCAGACAAAGAGCCTCTCCAAGATTTGATAACCAGACACTGGAACATGAGGTAGAGAAGGAGGGAACGGGTTCCCAGGACCCAGGAAGGATATGAAACAAGAAGCCCTCAGTGAGAATGAAGAGAGACCCTCCAGTGAAGAAGGAGGTGGCAGGTAGCACTTTCTCTCTGAGCCCAAACTCACTGTTGGGAAGGGCAGTTCAAACCTACAGGTGCATGGTGACTACTGGAAACCCCAGAGGCCTCCAAGGAGACACACCGAGGTGGAACGGAGCAGACCCCAGTAGCTGCTGAATTATCTGGGTTCAGATATCCTACAGGGGAGGGTAATTGGCCGGTAGCCATCTTGAGAGGGTCTGAGTTCAGAGCTCTAAACAACTGCAGACCGGCACCATCTAGTGGCTAGCAGTGACAGGGTCAGGATGCCAAGTTCAAGTCCATGGAAGGTCAGGGAGCTAAATTCAAACTAAAAGCCAACTTCAAGCCTTTAGGAGACACAGCCTGTTGTAGGCTAAAAATATCTGGTTCCAGCCTCACAGCCAGATACCAGCCTGAACTTCTTTCAGTGGAACTAAAGGGGCAGGCTTGCAGGGATTATGCACTACCCCTCTGTAAAGCTGGCTTGCTGGGATTAATCACCTCAGCTCTGGACTTAGTGTACCCACATTGTCTATCAGTGACAGCAAAGACATGCCTTGAAGACTTTTTTTCTTATTTTGTTTTTTCTCTCTTTTGTTTTTGTTTGTGTTCTCTGGGCTAAAGCAGCTTCCTCATGCGGCTTGTCCCAGGTGCTGTTTGTTCTGTTGTCCTTGGGATGGCCGGCCGTGCCTCAGCCCTGCACGTGTGGTCAGTTTCCAGCTTCAGTGGCTCCCGACAAATGTTGTTGTTTCACTCTATTTTTTCTTGATTGTTCTTGTTTTTATATGAGTATGAACATGTTTCAAGTTTTTTGTTCTTGTTTTGTTGTTGTTGTTTTGTTGTGTTTTTCTGTCTTAATATGTTTCCAAAAGTGTGGGCAATCTTCCTTTTACCTCCAGCTTTGCTTCTAACACCTTCCTCTTCCATTTCTCTATTTTTCCCCACAACCCCTTTTAAATTTTCTCCCCCAAGGTAAAATTGCCAAACTGAGGACTTTTTTCTACTCCATACAATTTTCTATTTCATTTTAGATTTTGCAAACCTAGTTTATGCACTTAAAGATGACAAATGAATTAGGTAGCACAGTTTGTCCTTATCTAGACTGTGTTTGCTGCAATTTCTATTGCCTATTTGTACCACTTTAGCAAGGTGACATACTCATCCTGATCAGTTGTTCTTCCTAGTATATCAAGCCTGAGATTGCCTAAGAGTCATAAAAAATACTATAGGCTAGTGCCCAAGCCAGGGGCTGAGCCAAGTAAGCAACAGTTTCTCATCTTCAATAAATTGAAAAGATAGGATCCTGTAACAGACTCAAAACTGAAAAGCAGTTATACCTGTCTCTGAAAAGTAGTCTTTACCTAAGAGTCCTAAATATGATCGATAAAACCACTCACCATAGGCAATTTATAAGTATCAACCCAGGCATCAAACTAAAAAAAGAAGGAGAAGGAAGAAGGGGAAGAGGAGGAAGATGAGGAGGAGCAGGAGAATGAGAAGGAGGAGGAGAAGAAGAAGAAGAAGAAGAAGAAGAAGAAGAAGAAGAAGAAGAAGAAGAAGAAGAAGAAGAAGAAGAAGAAGAAGAGGAGGAGGAGGAGGAGGAGGAAGAGGAGGAGGAGGAGAAGGAGAACAAGAGGAGCAGGAGGAGGAGGAGAAGAAGAAATCAGAAGACACTTAAACAAGATGCAACTCTAGGCTTCCAGCTTATCAAAGGCAAACCCAGGGGGCAGAATCAGATAAACACATCCCTGTGTGGCTGCCACCATCATGGGAGTCCCAGTGTAAACACACAGGCTGAGAGAGGCAGCCCCACCTCCATGCACGCCTGATCATCAGTGAAGTCCCAATGTTGCTGCCTAGGTCTGAAGAAGCCACTCTGCATCCTCCTACCTCCCTGTAAATCTGGAATTAGAGGAGCCCAAGTGCCTGTCCCATTCCCCCACACTGCTTAGGGGCAATGGGAAGTGCCTGGGGTCCCACCACCAGCTTGTTGAGAGGAACCCTGAAGAATGTCAAAACAAAGAAGCAAAATGCAAACTCAGATCTCTAGCCCACACAGAATAAGTCTGGAAGATATAGTCATGGAAGAAAATGGAAGTCACACACCTGAAATCTCTGAAAGGATAGCAACTGAAGTAACGAAACAACTTCATGAGATTGTAAAAACAGTCAAACCAGAAATAATGTCTCAGGTATAAGAAGAAATCACAAACACACTGAAAGAATTGTTCAGCATATCCAAAGAAGACATAGACCAAAAAAAGGAGCATAGGAAAATGATGGAAACCTTGAAGGAATGTAGAAAGGAATTACAATGCATGAAACAGATTCAAAGAGAGATCCAGGAAATTAAAAAATTCAATCAAAAGCTGGCAAAACCACTTGAAAGAGACTAAAGATAGATTTTCAAACCTTGAAGACAGGATTGCAGCTAGTGATCATGAAAGGAAAGATCTCTTAAAAATAACAGAATCAGGAAATAACTCAATGGCTGCAAGATGATGCAAAGAAGTATAATTTATAAGTGATAGGTGTCAGTGAAGAAGAACTTTCCAAACATGGAAAATGGAACTGGCATGCAGATAAGTGAGGCATATAGGACTCCAACTAGTCGTAACCAAAGTAAATCTATACACAGACATATAATAATCAAGAAATTCAGCACAATAATAGAATATTAAAAGCTGTTAGAGAATAGAGACAGATCACCTATAAAGGAAAACCAATCAGAATTACAGCAGACTTGTCAATGCAAACCATTAAGTCAAGAGTTTGGAGTGAAGTGGTTCAAACTCTGAAAGAAAATAATTTCCAATCTAGATTGATCTACCCAGCAAAACTACCTTTCAAAATTGATGGAAAAATAAGATACTTCCATGATAAAAAAACAATTGAAGGAATTCATGGCCACCAAACCAATCCTACAGAGAGTGCTGAAGGATACTCTAGAGAGAGATAAAGCTGACCATGGTTCCAGGAACAGTAGCAGAGGAGGATCACCAAACAAGACAGGCAACTGAATGAAAGGGGAAAAGTGGAGGGCCAACAACAGGAAGATAGCATGGCAGAGAAAAAACAATGTACGCTGGTTGTAACAATTAATGTAGACAGCCTCAGGTCAGCAATAAAAGAAACACAGAGAGAGAGTGGATCAAGAAACAAGATCCATGATATGCTGTATATAAGAAACACATTTAACTGGAAAGGAAATTCATAGACTGAAAATCAAAGGAGAGAAAACAATTGTTCCATGTGATGGGAGACTAGAAAAAAAGTAAGAGTAACTTGCCCATCAGTCACAGAATGGATAAGAAACATATGGTATTTGCATGCAGTGGAAAGCTATCCTGTTATAAAAGAATAATCTCAAGGCCCCTGTAGGTAAATGGATGCAACTGGAGATCATGTTCATGGGCAAAACGGTTTGAACTCATACACATGAACCCTCACATAAGAAACAGAAGGAGTTAATGGGATCCAGAAGCAAAATAGTTAATGTAAGAGCAAAGGGGAGGAGACACCTGGGAGGGAAAGGTGGAAACTACTACCAATTTCTTATTGTCTTACCTTGAACTCTTGCATTGTTTACACAAGTTTGTTAGGTTTGGCCTTGTTCTGTCTTGTTTGTTAGATTTTTATGCTGTCAGATGGTAGGGGCAGCTATTTTGAATATAATGGGATATATTATGGTAATCATGGGTTTCCTATTATATTGCTTTGAAGTCTTATAATGCTTTAATTCATTTGTTTGATTGGTTTTATTGTTTGATTTTATTTTATTATGTGTGATGGTATGAACAGGTATTTTGAAGAAAACAAGACATTATAGTAGCCATTACTGATGTACTATCATCTTGTTTTGAAGTCCTACCATACTTTTGTTCTTCTGTTTTGATTAGTTCTAGCTTGTGGTTTATTTGGTTTTATTATGTGTGATGGTATAGACAAATTTTGGGGGAAAATGAGATATTTTAGTAACTATTGTTCATTTCCTGTTATTTGGTTTTGAAGTCCTGTAATGCTTTCATTCTTTTGAATGGTTTTATACTATATTGTTATGTTTGATATTAATGTATGTGAAAGTGTGCTCAACTATTTTGAAGAAAAGAGACATTATGGTAGCCACTGTTGATGTCCAGTTGTCTTGTTGTGAAGTCTTGTGTTGCTTGCATTGTTCTGTTCTGATTTGCTTTGTTCTGTTCTCTTTTGTTTTATTCTCTTTTAAATAAAAAATTTTTAAATGTTCAACACCATTCATCATAGGAGATATGCAAATTAAAACATTGTGCTTCCATTTCACTTGAGAAGAAATAGCTATCGTCAAGAAATCAACCAATAACAAATGCTGGGGAGTTGTGGGGAAAAGGAAACCCTTGTCCACTGCTGGGTGTATGGTCTGGTGCAACCACTGTGGGGAAATCAACATGGAGATTCCTCAAAACAATGAAGTAGAGGATCCATTTGACCCAGCTATTGCCCTTCTTGGCATCTTCCCATAAAATTAAAAGCATCATGCCACAGCAATATATGCATACCCATGTTTATAGCAGCCCAGTGTATAGTACCTAAATTTTGGAAGCAGCCCAATTGCCCACCAACCAATGAATGGATAAGGATGTGGTTTTTTATATAACGGAGCACTACTCAGCCATAAAGAAGGACAAACTTGAGACATTTATAGATAAATGGATAGACCTTGAGATGATACTCAGACACACTTGTATAAGTATTGTTTCTCTGGTGTGAAAAACCAAAAAAGTAAATAAGGACCAAAATGCATAATTGTGTGTGAAATAGGAAGAAAATGTTCAAATAAGAAGGGAAACTAGAGAGGGAAGAGGAGGAAAGAAAAGAAAGGAAAAGAAAAAATTAAGAAAAGAAGAAAAAATGGAAACAAAGCTTTTGTAAATAGGAGAGGAAGAAGGATTGAACAGTGGGCAAGGGAAAAGGAAAAAGAAAAGAATCAAAATATATCATGCCAGATAAAGCGCTATGATGCATGAGATCACTGGATATGCCTAACACGTACTGTGCCAATAAACAATATGTAAAGAGAAGTACTGCCCACTTAGTTTTGTGTCTTTATTGTTTACTACTCAAATTGTATGGATAAGAAAGGACTAACAGTATCTCTAATATTATCTCTACCTCAGACCAATGCTAGGTCATTTTTCAATCATTATATGAAGTAAAGGTTGGGTTTTGTTGATTGAAAATGTACTAATCAAAACAAATACTTAATGATTTATGAAGAACTTAGGCCTTGAAAACCAAAGGGATGAATTTTTAAAACTTTTTTCTAAAACCTGGTGCATGCCTGTAACCCCAGTGCTCAGGAAGGAGTCTGAGGCAGGAGGATCATTGTGAGCTTGAGGCCAGCCTGGGCTACAAAGTGAACCTAAAGCCAGTCTGAATTGTGTAGTGAGAACCTGTCTCAAAAAGACAAAAACAACCCAACCTTTTCTTTAGAATTTAGTAGTCAATATGAATCAGAATTTGCAGAATAAATTTGGACTCAATCTTGTCTTCAAACAGATACTGTGATTGCAGTAGGCAAAAGACAATGTAATTTTATAAATTTTTCAAACCAAAAGGCCCATTTTCATTTTGTTATTAACAATAAGAATGATTGTTTGAAATCCATAAACTCATAACTAATATTCTTTCATGGAAACTATCCCTTAACTTTCACAGAAAATCTTATGACAGTTTTTCTTTCTTTTTTTAAAAATATGAATACCATCATAGTATTTTTTTAATTTTTAAAAATCAAAACAGAAAAAAGGTAAAATAACACAGAATTTCAAAAAAGTAACAGTAAGAAATCAACATTAGTTAATATGTTACATATTGTTATCTTAAAAGTAGTTGTTTACGTTATAAAATCTAAGCATAAAAAATGAACAATTAAACAATGACAACACAAACTATTCTTTTTCATGAACTAACAGAGAATTAGCAGTATGGTTATCTATCCTGCACATTTAAACATACATACAGTTATATGTAGATACCTATAAGTTGTTCTTTCCTTTTGAGCACTTTCTTTCCTTTTCTTTACTACAATATTTACTGTGTATTTTGGATCTTATTATTTTTCAATTTTTTATTATTAATATTACATTAGAAAGAAAATACAATATTTACAAACATGGGTCTAATTTATTTCACTTATGAAGATAGTCTCCAGTGCCTCCGTTTACCTATAAAAGCCTCAAGGTCATCCTTTTTATAGCTGAGTAATATTTCATTGTATAAAAATACCACATCTTTTTCATCCACTCTGCAGCTGATGGGCATTTTGGTTGTTTCCAAGACTTAGCTATTACAAATTGCACTGCTATAAACATGGGTGCACATATATTGCTGTTACATAACATTTTCAATTTTGGGGGGAATACCCAGAAGGGGAATAGCTGGATTGAATAGGACTTCCAATCCTAGTTTTTTTGAGGAACCTCCATACTAATTTCCACAGTGGCTGCACCAATTTACACTCCCACAACAGTGGAGAAGTGTTCCTTTTCCTCCTCAGCCTCACCAACATTTGTTATCAGTTGATTTCTTTTCTTTTTTTTTTTTAAAGAAAATAAAACTAAACAGAACAAAATAGAACAAAGCAGGTCAGAATAAAACAATGTAAGTGACACAGATTTCAAAGCAAGACAACAGGAGATCTACAGTGGCTACCATAATGTCTCTTGTTTTCTTCTAAATAGTTGTCTATATCTTCACAATGAATTCATACAAAACAAAACAAAACAGTATTAAACTGATCAGAACACAGTAATGAAGACATTATAGGCCTTAAAAACCAGACAAAAGGAAAATCAACAATGGCTGTCATAATCTCTTTTTCTCTTCAAAATAGCTGTCCATACCTTCATGTATATTGAAATTAAACAATACAAAACAGACTAAAACCTCTATGGACAAAGAATAAAAGCATTACTGGTTTTCACAGCATGATGATAGGAAATCAGAAATGGATACATTACTGTCTCTTTTTCTTCAAGGTAGCTGTTCATTTCATCATGCATAATATAATAGATTCTCTTAAACTGTTTAGGAGAAGTTCTACACATGTGTAAGCCTCTACATGTATACCTATCCTTTCTGTGTTAGAGGGAAAAACAAAACAAGATTGCTAGAAAAACATGAAACAAAAAAGACAACTAAATAACAGTAGCAAAGAGCCCAAAACAGTGATGATGTAGGCCTTCAAAACAAGGTGATAGGAGCATAACTAGGGTTGTTATTTTACATAATGATCTTCAAGAGTTCCTCATCAGGTGATTCCTTAATGGCAGCCATTCTTTCTAAAGTGAGATGAAATCTCAATGTTTTAATTTGCATTTTTCGAATGACCAGTAAAGGGGAACATTTCTTTATGTATTTATTTGCCGTTTGTATACCTTCATCTGAGAAATGCATGTTCATCACAGATGCCCATTTTTGAAGTGGGTCTTTTAATTTGGGGGACTTGATGTTTTTCAGTTCTTTATATGTTCTGGATATAAAGATATGTTATTCTGGATATAAAGATATTATGTGTTCTGAGGGGCTACTGACTAATATTCTTTCCTCTGTGGTTTGCGTTTTGTTTATGAACTCTTTGCCTACTCCAAGTCTTTAAGATTTCTATCTACCTTGTCTTCCACTAGATTTAGTGTTTCTATCGATATTTAGATCTTTGATCCATTTTTGGCTTTGTTTGATGCATGGTGATAGACATGGGTCTAGTTTCAGTTATTGGCATGTGGAAAGCTAATTTTTCCAACACCATTTATTAAAGAGGCTATCCTTCTTCCAGTGAGCCTGTTTAGCCCCTTTGTCAAATATAAGGTGGCACGGTGCCTTTGTAGTTGTGTTTACATCTTCTAGTCTGTTGCATTGATCCTTGGGTCTATTTCTTTGCCAGTACCACACTGATTTTATCAATGAAGCTTTGTAGTATAATTTCAAATCAAGGGTTGTGATGACTCCTGCCTTGCTTTTGTTGCCCAGAACTGCCTTTGCTATTCTAGTTCTCTTCTGGTTCCAAATGAATTTTAGGAGTGTTTTCTCTAGATCTGTAAGGTAGGTTAGTGGTATTTTGATTGGGGTTGCATAGAATCTGTTTGGCAGTTTTGGGAGTTTTGATGATCATTTTCACAATGTTCATCATAGTATTAAAGGTGACACACTCCCAAAATAGCATCACAAAGCTCTGGGAATCCCCCCACCAGCATTCTAGTTTCCAGGAAGAGCGATGTCATAATGTCCTCCTTAGTCTTGGGATAACTTCCTGCCGTGCCACAGGAAGAAAAGCTCTGAGGAGAAAGAGTAGATTACTGGATAACCCACATTAATTTCTAAATGATTGTGATATTGTTTGTATTTTTATCTGGGGTTTCTACCTCAGGGGATAGCAATTCTAAGCCTGGTACGGAAGGTGAGTAAAATTTTAAAATTTCATAGAAAACAGGAGGTAGGAAGGATAACTCTCAATACAGAAAACTGCCTGGTGGCAGTTTTGTACACAGTGGTGGTTTTTTGTTGGGCATATTAAATAATTTAGATTTGAAACCTACTCAAATTGTTCATGAAAAATACTGGGGAAAAAGAAAGAAAGAAACACATCAACATATTTTATCTTTGCTGTGTCACACTTTTTTAGACCCACCTGATGTGATATCTTCAGATGAAGACATTCAAGAGGAAGAAGATATGACTAATAACCCTGCCATACCTGAAGAAGAAAACATGATTAATCCTCCTGCTAATGAGAAAACTGGCAATTATTATAAAGATATAAAACAATGTTAGTATTTAAACTTAAAATTTATAAAACCCGATTATTGTAGTTATAACTCTCCAAACTCCCAAGATTGTTTTATCCTGCGTGTTAAGTTCTAATATAGGTTGACAACTCTTCAGTGTGTACAATGAAATCCTTATTCCCTACAATGTTTTTGTAGTTGATCACCAACTGCCCAAGTACCAAAGCCTGACGCCTCTGAAATCCCTTGATGGCATTCAGCACACAGCAAACAGCGGCCCGACACGTGCCGCTCACAACAGAAGCCCCTTTTTTCCCTACAACTTTTTTGAAGAGATGTTATGAAGTTAGCCAAAGTTCTCTGGGTAATCATTTCTAACCGCCATAGTTCCTCAGGACTTTGTAGTACTTATTCACAATAAAATCAACTTAATTCAGTGAGTTAACAAGTATGTATCTGAAGGTGAAAATTCTTTTCCTGGGGCTGCTGAACCAAGTACACAGTGAGTACTAGGGGGCTCAAAACAACAGAAATCCATTCTCCCACAGTTCTGCAGACCCGAAGCCCAAAATCAGAGTTTTACCTGACCAAGTAAAGCTTCTCCCTCAGAGAAGTGAGGGCCTCCTGGCCTCTCCCAGCATCTGGGAGCCCCGCGTTCCCTGGGGTGTAGCAGCCTCATTTGGTCTCTGCCTGTCTCCTCACCTGGTTTCTCCCTGTGTGGCCCTGTCTGCGGGTCTCTCTTCCTGGGAGGATGTCAGTCACATCCATTAGGATCCCACCTACCCCAGCCTGAATTAATCTTGATTACTACTTCAACCACCCTGCTTCCAAATAAGGTCACATCTGATGTACCAGGAGGTAGGACCTCCACACAAGCTCCTCTGGGTGGAGGACACAGTTCAACCTGTAACGGTATGGCTGCTGTATGTTTGTAAGATTTATTAAAAATTCATTTTATAATCTGCCATTTCTCATATGGACTTCTTTTCGATGTCCTTACTAGGAATACCATTCTAAAAAGTGAAAAGTTGATGCGAATCTCTGCTTAAAAATTAAGACATTTAATTATGCTAGAATCTTTATTAATGGTTAAAAATAGAAAACAATAGAGATTTGCATACACATACAGATGCTTGGAAGCTGTAATGCATAACATCCGTCTATTGCTTTCTTGATGAGTGAATAACCCTCTTTTAAGTTTTATACTTAATACACTCACATAAAAGGAATCATACTATGGACTTGTTTTTCTCATTCAATAACTCTGGAATGTTTTTCATATCTATTTTTTTTTTACTTTTTATGTTTTAAGTACTGGGCCTTTGCAATGAACTACATCTCTAGATTTTCTCTTCTTTCTCTTTCCTTTTTTTTCTATTTATTTATTTATTGGCAGTGTCTAAGTCCTAGCTGGGTTCAAACTTGAAGTCCTCCTGCCTCAGCCTCCAGAAGTGTTGAACTTACAGCTGTATGTCACCATGCCTGGCTTATCTCATTATTTTAATGAATACATACTGTTCCATAAAATGACAATAGTTCATTATGTTGTTAGAGAACACTTAGATAACTTACATTTCTTCCCTATACATTTCTTTCTTACATACACTTGGGTGTATCTGAGGCTATACATCAACCACTGACATTGTTGAAGACAAGGTAAATCTGATATTGGTGGATAGCCACCAAAGTACCCTCCCAAAATTATTTACCAATTTATATCCTAGAAAAATGATCCACAAGCTCATCTGTAATGAATATGCAGGATATTTTGTGTTATAAGTGAGAAATATATTGTTACTTGCACTGTAATACTGTTGAAGTAGAGTATTTTCCTCATTACTTGTTGGGTACTTTTATTTCTGGTCTGCAAATTATCTGCTCATAATGTTGCCCTGTTTTTATATACAGTTTATTAATTTTTTCCATGGTGTATTAAGAACTTTCTCTTACCCTATTGCTTACATTTAAACCTGCTTACAAAACTTTAGTCATGAATAAAATTTCTTGTTCTTGGAAATCAATTCCATTGATTATTTTGTATTCTGCATTTCATGTCTTGCTTAAATAGGACTTTTCCAATCCAAGATACTAATTGATTTTATTACCTTTTATAAGAATTCCCTATTTATCTTTAACTCATGTCTTAAATTTTGTTTTTATATGGCATAAAATAATAACATATGTTTTTCGAGCCAGTATAACTAAAACTGATTTATGTGACATCCACATTTAATATAATCTAAAATTTTTATATGAAACTGAGTCGATTGTACTTTTTATTATCCTTTTTCTGATCTTTTTCTACAAAAATACCAGTGTTTTAATTTTTATACGTTCTTAACTCACAATGTTAACGTTGTGGTTTATTTCCATTTTTCCAAAGATTTACCTTTGAAATTTCACGAAAATGTCTAAATATGAATGACACCAACTTTTTCTTATGTGTTGCTGAGGGAAATGAGGGCATATGTAAATATTAAATGTATCCATCTTCACATATTGATGTGCATATAAAATTTTGTGTCATTCCATGAGAATTTGGAGGTAATAAATGGATGCATATGAGTTTCAGTCTACCATCTTGACCCAACTTACCTTGACCCCTGGGGTGGATGAACGTGTTCACCAGCTTTTGAATTACAGCTGAACCCGCAGATGACTCCTAAGAGCAGGGTTCTTTATGGGTAATTGCTGCTGTGAGCCTATATGGCAAACCTTATTATTGAACTATACAGTTCTTAATCAGAAGGTTCAGATAAAGACTTCTTACTTAATGTTTTGGTGATGCCAGTCAATTGGTGATAATATTGTACATCTTCTAATCTACTTTGGCATTGGTTATGACTTGCACATTTTTTGTGAATTCCCTCAGAAATTGTTTCTTAATCATTGAGCTTAAAAACATTATTTTGATTTTCTTCTTAGGAATTTTCAATGTAACCCTTGCCCTTAATTTCTTATTTTAAGTATGACAAATGAATCAAGCATTTTTATAATTTGTGGGGAAGGTCATTCAGTACACTTTTTAAAAATTCTATGAACAAAAAGTGATTTTAATAGGTAGGACAACAGATTTTACTAGGTATTCAAGACTTTTGATTTTTTTTTCAGATGTGTTCACCACAAAAAATCCAAATGGCACTGTGTCTGAAATATCCGTAAAAGCAACAACAAATCTCAATTTTGCCCTGAAGACCTGTGAGTATTGATGGCATCATTGCATAAGTGAAAGCCCTTAAAGCAAGACTTGAGAGCAGCACCAGAGAGGCTGTGGAGGAAAGAAGCCTTAGCTCTTAAATAAATCTAAACATTTTCCAGGTCCATCCTGTGACTCTAGGGCCTGCCTTAGTTCTGGGTGGTCCTCTAGGTTTTGCTCACAGTTCGTCACACCACATCCTCCAGGCTGTGTTCCACGGCACTGATAACTCAAAGGCAGCGAGGTCTTGCGTTTCTGCATCTCATGTATTTGGTTTGCATGGACAATTTTTAAGTATCTAGGAAATTATAGATCTCTTAAATTTACATTTTGCTCCTGTTTTTTACCCTCACCAGCTTCAAACAAGGATGAGAGACTATTTCTAGTTTCTTTTTAACGTTGGAATAAGCCAAACTCATTACATGCCTAATTATCAATAAAGCTACATGGCCATATGGAATACTTTGAACAATTCCAAACATTAGACAATGATATTTCCAGGGAAGACATTAATTAAATAATCTTTTGTGGAGATCTTGCTAGACACAGTGAATAGCACCTTGAGTTATCTGGGACAAGAGAGTGAAAGCCAGAGCTCCAGAGCAGGCCGAGTCCCTCAGATTCCCCAGGGCCCAGAGGCTGTCAAGAAACAGCCTGGGATGAGAAATTCCTACCCTCTTAACAGAGGCCCCGACAACGTGTATGTGCATGGTAGGGACAACATAGAGGACAAGCCCTTGAGGAATAGAGATTGCTAGGATAATTTTGACTAAAGGTGACTTGATTAAGTATGGTTCTTAAAGTTTTGAGGGCAAAGGATTAAACTGTGGGAACCAGCTATTCTCTCTCTCTCTCTCTCTCTCTCTCTCTCTCTCTCTCTCTCTATCTCTGTCCCTCTCTTTCAGCATAATACATGCATAGCACAGTTTAGAGATTATTTATCATTGTTTCTGGTCCTATATAAAGCATCATCCACTCCAGTAATGGAGTCCCTTCCCATTTCCCGTCAGCTGGCTTCCTGTGCTGGGTTTGTGGCTGTGCCTGAATTCACTTCTGCCTGTCAGCCGAACACTCCCTTTATAGAGTGATCTGTATACACATGGAACTTAAAGTCAAGGTCAAGATTTAGTTTCGGTGTTGACCTTATGGGAAAGTTGACTTGGTTCTCATCCTATTGTTTGTGACCAGCATCGTGGGAAGAAATGAGCTCATGAACCACTGTGCTGACTCTTGTATTCAGTGAAGTTAACTACTGTGGCCAACCACACAGGGGAAAGTAGTTTTCCAGGCACAATTGTCCCCAAACATCTCTTCAGTGGCACACCCGCAGAGGGACACACACTAGACTGAGGTCCAAAATCTTCCCATTCAAAACACTTTCCCAGTTGACAGACTTTACCCTAAGAGCCATGCCACTTAGTAATGCAAAGCTCATTTCAAGGCCTGTGCAAGGAAGCTGGAATTCCATCACCCCAGCTGACTGCTCTCCCTCTGCTCTGCAGGAAGCTTGTGGTCTCGTGATCCCTGCTTTTCCTGTCTGTCGCAGGTTAGGAACTTTAATCTCACTCAAGGCATCAGAAATGTTCCTCTTCACTGCCTTCTTCCTTCCCATTGGTTGTTATTTCAGGAAGAGGTCTCTTCTTTGCTTTTAATTTCTTCTCGCTCTTATCTTCCATTTTTATCTTTAGAATAGGCCTATTTTCAGATATTTACTGCATATGGTAATTACCCTTTACCTCTTTTCATAGATAGACCTAGTGTAACACCTGAAAAAAAATTCGAGGAAGAAGAAAACGTTCTTAAGAGTAAGCAAAGTATTAAAATTATTTTGATTCTTCATTCTTAGCCACATAATTATATGACTTGAAAATGTAAAAGTCACTACCCTGAGCATTGCATAAAGAAATAGTATACTTAAAGTGTTTATATTGCTATATTTTAAAGTAACTCTAACCCCTTGTAAGTGGCAAATGTCTGAGACCAAATTTTTAGGTGTACATGACAAGGGTACCTAACTGGGCTTTTAGAAGTTTAAATTTATTTTCATAAATGTATTATAATTATATAAAATTATATTTATAAATTGTCATACTTTTATATACATATAAGATAAAAATATTAAATAACTGTTCATATAAATGACTTGTATTTCCATATATGTAACTAGAGTAAATATATTATAAATCTAATTTATTTTGATAATTATGTAAAAATTTCTACTTGTTTAAGGGGTATATGTATTTCTAATTAGATGCAATAATTAATACTTCCCAAGATTACTCCATGGAGAGCTTCTGGGAATCAGAGATTTACTTTCTTGCCAAAAATATTGTTGCTTATAAAACAGCTGTGAAGCCCTGACAACCCAAATGGCTTCCTGAATGGTTTGAGTGAAGCAGTCTTTTTGAAGACAGTGTAGTGCTGATTTTCTTTTCTTTTTTTTTAAAACAGTAACAACCCCAAATGTGCCTGCATTTTGGACAATGCTAGCTAAAGGTAAATAAACAGTTAAATAACGGGAAATTTTTGGTTTTCTAAAATCTTATGTAAGAAAGCCAAGGTCGTCTTAATACTCTTAGTACTAAGAGTCAATAAGTGAAGGTTTGGCTGCCACGTGTAATAGCAAACACCTGAGAGGCATTGAAATCACAGTTTTTTATTTTCCTTCACAAAAAGTTTTATTCACCTAAAATCTAGTCAGTTTATGATTAAAAGCTTTAAATAAGACAATCCTTGCCTAAAGTCCCATTTTGTGTTGTGAGTGTAAAAATGCAAGAACGATTATAAATTCAAATTATATATAAAAATGCCTGTAAAAAGTAATGTATATAACGTAAATGCATATAATGTAAATGAATATATAATATAAAGTACACATCAATCTGTACATGTGTATATAAAGATATACTTAGGTGTTTACATATGAATGTACTCCATGGATCATATATATCTTTCTATATGTATAATAAATGTGACCATATTCATATACCATATTCAGTCATCTTCATTGTTTGCATATACTCTATTTGTATTGTCCACCACCTAATCACTAAGATTTTGGTCACCTAAAAATCAGTACTTACAGCAAGGTCATTTGTGAGCACAAAGATTCAAAGAGATTCAAAAATTTTTGTGTGTGATACATACAGGCAAACCTTGATCTGGTCCCCAACTATCATATTTTTTTTATTTTAAAGAGAATAAAGCCAAGCAAAATAAAATAGGATAAAGCCAATCAAAACAAAACAGTGTAAGTAATACAGGACTTCAAAACAATACGAAATCAACAGTTTACCATAATGCCTCTTGTTGTCTTCAAAATAGCTGCAGATACCTTCAAACATAGTAAAAATCAAACAAAACAAACAGAATAGAACCAGTCAAAACAAAACAATGAATGCAGTAAAGGACTTCAGAACATGACAATAGCAAATCCAAAATGCCTAGCATATCTTACTATGTTTGTCCCAAGTATCTAATTAAATTGCTGGTTAATCCTCCTGGATGCAAGAAGCCTGTAATGTGCCATATGGAGAAAATCCATGTGCTACACGAGTTTGGCTCAGCCTTAAGTAATAGCGCTCATTACCATCTTGGACATAGCCAGCATGCACAATGAGAACAAACTGAACATATTATACACCCATATTTATAGATATATAACAATTTTATCAGATGATTGTCATAATATCAATTTATTGTCTCAACAGCTATAAATGGAACGATCGCAGGCACAGGTGGTAAAGATCAGTTATTTCAACCAATTCCAGGTAAGAACAAAGCCCTTCAATGAACAGATACATAATACATTTTAGTGGCTGCAACGTCATACTATTTTCCTTAGTTCGGGTAGGGTATGGAGGAGGGTGTCCTGCTGGCTGACGTTATATCAGAGGGACATTTAGGAGAGTCACAGTTCCTGAGCACTCTTCTCTTTTTACGTTTTTATCAGCGCAGGTTTGTAGTACGTGATGATTACGTTACGTTCATGGGGGGAATCCATACATGTGTTTTAATTAGTACATGTTTTCACAGTAAGGTGATCTCATTCCTTGTGAGGTTTTGCTACATGTACAGGATACATTTTTTGCATCCTTTTCACCTCTCCTCCTATTCCCCTCCATCTCTTGGTCTTCTTCTCTCTTGCAAAAGATCTAGCTCTCTTTTTCCTGTCATTTGTCTTTCATTTTGTCCTCAGTGTTCTTCCCCAGTTACCATTTTGTGGGTGACTGCTACCGTATACAACACAGTCTTTTAAAAACAGCCTGTATTTTTGCACATGATGTCATTATTTGTTATGGAAAGTTAAACAAGTTCCTTTTTTTTTTTTTCTGTAATGTCCGACACATTGGGTTTAAACTTCTCACTAAAAAAGAGTCAAACGTAGCTCTTCAGCCTCATGGGATCAGCCATACTGGCAGCTCTATAGGAAATCAGCATATACCTTCCTCTCCTGCAGGACTAGCTCCTTCTGTGAAAAGTAATCAAAACAGCTTCACAGGAGAGATACTTAAACTGGTGTTTAGTAAGGTCAAAGAGAAGTTTGTTACATGCAAACATTTTGTCATATGATAACCGAGGTCGAAAATCAGTTTTTGCCCCTTAACTGGTTATGTATAACCCTCTCTGATCCCGTAACATGGAGCCACAGAGGCTGCTCCAAGGCTGGCAGGAAGGTGACGGAGATAGGAGCCCTTGCCCTGCGGTGGCCTCTTCCTCTGCCTCGCCTTAGGTGTGGGAGAGTGAGCAGTGACCTTGCAGGAGGTGGAGGCTTCTCTGCAGCAACTCTGCAATCCTTATTCCCCAGGGAGACTCTCAGGGCACACTGTTTTCCATGGCCTCTCTCTCTCCTCTCAGACTCTGATGTGAATGCTACAAATGAAGACAAACTGTCAGACCTAGAGGCTCTCAAGCTCAAATTAATGCTGGGCATCGCACTGATGACCCTGCTCATTTTTATACCCCTCATGATATTCTGCATTGTCACACTGTATAAACTGAAGCAGCTGAGGTAAGCCTACCGCCGTCTGCAATCTTTTTTTTTTTTTAATTTTATTTAAGGAGAAAAGAAAAGAAAGAAAAAAAAACAGTGAAGGGGTACAAGTTATACAGATTTACAGAAGAAAAAAATGCGCAGTAGGAAATCACTAGTTAATGGATTACAAATTGCCATCTTAGAAATAATTGTTCAAGTCACAAAATTAAAGCTTGTAGAGTGGACATTCCAACAATGATACTGCAAACAGTTCTGTTCAATGATCCAATAAAACTCTGTGATATCATTTTCTATCTTATACATTTAAATATACATGCAGTTACATAGTTTAGAGCACTTTCTTTTCCTCTCTTTTGTACAGTGACTATTACACATTTTGGGTTTCATTGCTCCCACGGTTCTTATTGCTTTTTTGGAAGAGAGTAAAACCAAATGTGACATAACAGAACAGAATCGGTCAAGTCAAAAGCGTGGATATAATAGATAATATAAAAACATAATACAAGGTGATCAACAATGGTTACCATAATGCCTCCCGCTATTTCTAATAGAATTGCCTATATCATTAGTTGTAATACAATTGAACAAAACCGTAAAGAATAAAACCGACAAAACCAAAACATTGGAGATATTGTAGGTCTTCAAAAGTAGATAAAAGTCAACGAGAATGGGCGTTATAATGAATCTCATTATCTTCTCAGCTGATGCCTAAACTTTCGAACCTGATACTATCCAGCAAAACAGAATAGAGGAACCTCAGTCAAAAACAAGATGGTGAGAGTAATACAGGGCTTCAAATCGAGATAATAGAAAGTCAAAGTGGGTTACTATATTATATCCTGCTATATTTTTCCCTTTAATTAAATGGATAAAAATAAAATAGTAAATAATGGAGTGGAGATTGAGAAAAAAGAGGGCATAACAGCGAAACAGGGCAGATCAAAACATAACCATTTAAGCAGAATAGTGTTTCACCACCAGATATTTCCGACCCAAAAATAGTTACCATATTGACTCCCTCCCTGAAGTCCTTGAGTACAACTTCATATACTGTAGCATTAAGTATATCAAAACAATGTAAAACCATTTAAGAGAATGACAGCATTATAGAGTATTTAGAATCGACTAACAGAAAATGAACAATGGTCTCTGTATAATCTCCTTGTCTTTAAAAGGTTTTTGCTTATACTATCGTACATAACAAAATCCAATAAGATACAACCTGTTTAGACCATTGGAGACAGAAGAACAAAAGCTAGATGAGACTTCAAAACAAGATAGTACTAAATCAGCATTACCTATTAAGATGTCATTTTCTCCAAAATAGCTGTTCCTATCATCCAATCTTCTCTGTCTCATTTCTGTTGAGCTCTTTTTCTGTCAGTAGCTGTCAGTTTGTCTTCTTCATTTTGTTCTCTGCTCCATTCATTGTGGCCTCCCCGCCCCTATTTCTGGGTTCTTTGTATTTTTCTTTTTTTAGAATATCCTGCAATACTTTCTGTAGGGTTGAATTGGTGGTTGCAAATTCCCCCAGTTCCTCTTTATCCTGGAAGCACCTCGTTTTTCCATCAATTTCCAGGGACAGTTGTGCAGGATATCTCAATCTTGGCTGGAGATTATTATCTTTCAAAGCTTGAATTATTTCCCCCCATGCTCTTCGTGATTTGATGGTTTGTGAAGAGAAATCTGCTGTAATTCTGATGGGTGTTCCCTTGTAAGTGATCTGTTTCTTGTCTCTTACAGCTTTTAATATTCTGTTCTTGTATTGAATTTCTGGAATTTTTATTATTATATGCCTGGGTGTTTCTCTGTTAGGTTTGTAGGTAGCTGGGGTCCTGTATGCCTCATACATCTGAGTATCTTTACCTTTTGCTAAATTAGGAAAATTCTCCTGGATTATTTCTGTGAGCAGCTTTTGTAGTTCACTTGTTTGTGTCCCTACTTCTTCTTTTATGTTCTTAATCCTTAAGTTATGGCTCCTCTTATCATCTTCTTGTCTTTGTATTATTGCTGTTTGTTTCTTTGTTATTTTTAAGAAGTTTTCCATTTCATTCTCCCATATTTCAAGTCTGCCCTCCAGTTCAGATAGTCTGTCCTTAGTTTCTTTCAAGCTGTTATGCCAGTCTTGGATGGACTTCTTAATTTCTTGATAGTCCCTTTGAACCTGCTTCACATACTCAATGCTTTCTCTGTTTTCTCCATCAAGCAATTCTCCCCTCTTTTTCTGTTCTTCCATTCCACCATCTGTTTTTTCCTGGGTGGTGCTTAGCATTTCTCTAACTATTCTGCATACTTCTAGCTTCAGGTCATTGATAACTTCATTCCTGAATTGGTCTATGAGGCTCTCTATATGGCGCTTAATGTATATTGGTGCGGTGTCCACTATTGCCTGTTTCTCAGGATTGGGGGCCGAGGAGCCTTTTTTGTTGCTTCCCTTCCCCATATTTTCTGTTCCTTATAAAATGCAAGCTTACATAGGAGGCCCGGCTTCCCTGCCTGTCAGCCACAGCCTGATCAAATTGCGCTCGCTAGTTGTTCCCGCCCACCGCTGCACACCAGGGAGTTGCGGAGGAGGCAGTCTACTCGGGAGTCAGCCGCTCCTCTGGGCCACCGTCAGGCTCTGGGATCTGGGTTAGGCCAGCCTAGGGAGTCCGCCAGCAGCGTCACTCAGGCCAGGCACTTTTCACCAATCCCGTCCGAGAGGGGAATGTGTGGCTGGAGTTGCCACCGCGCCCTGCTCTTACAGGACTGCCCGAGCCCAAAAAATCCTCCGCTGGAGTCAAACTGTGGTAGGGGGTCAGTTTCTCGCTCACCTCGCCACCAGTCAGTTTTCGTGTACGCCTCCTTGTCCGTCCTGTTTTCGACTCCGTTCGCAGACTCCTGTTCCCAGAGCTCGGCGCGTCTCTCCTTGCCGAGCCGCTGTGGAGGCAGCCAGCCGCCGGGCGGCGGGAAACCCAAATCGCGGTTTCCAATGGCGCGGGGTCGAGCCTCTACACCGAGTCTTTTCTGTTCCTATTTTAGCGCCAGGACTGTATTCTAAGTTGGTTTCTCTCAGCCCAGTTCGTTCCTGAGTCAGCAGAGCATATCTCTACTGGTTCGTGTCTCCTTAGGCCGCATCATTCCTGACCTCTGAGCCGAGCCTTTCAGAGAGCCTTCGGTAGTTGCTGTTGTCTGTCCGCCTTGTTCTCCTTGCAATAGATTTTTAACCGGTCTGTTTTTGCCTTTCTATATGGCAACCCGTCTGCAATCTTTATAACTAATGTGTAAGTGATGCTCCTCTCTCCCGAGTTAGTAAACTGTTAGGAACCTTGACTCCTACATAATTTAATATATTCATTTTCACTCCATTTCTCCTGAGAAGGAGCATGGGGCCATCTCTCAGTAAATATTCATTCTTCTTGAACTTTTCCTCAGTAATTTCAAGTCATCTGCAGATAGAACTAATCATAGCAAATTGGAAAGTACATAGATGTTCTAGATAATGCTTGTTGATAGCCTCGGAACAGAAGAGCTATTTCTTCACTTCTGAATACAATATGTGATTAGAGTCTAACACTTTTCCATTCAAGCAAGCCTTGCCTGAGATCTTCAAAAAACAGCAAATCTGTCTGTCATATTTATACCTTGAGGCCTATCCATTTGATCCTTTAAAAAAAATAAAATATTAAGTTCAAATCAAACCTGAGTGAGAGAATTATTTAAAATTTCTTCACACAGTGTTAGAAATTACTTTCAAAAATTCCAACAATTGCCTAATGTTCACAATCATGGTTAATTAACATTTTTTTGACTGTGGTGTTTTTCAGGAGTGGTATATTTCTCCAATTCTTTGAAACTCTAAATCTAGGTATTTATTTCCTCTTGATTATACTTTGTTTTCCCTATTTTCTATTAAACTTTTATTAAAGCAATCTTTACTGTTTTAGTAAATTGGTTTCTAAATTATAGTCTTGGGCTGGGGATTTAGCTCAGCGGCATAAGCTCCTGACTTGCAAGTAGCACAGTTGTGAGTTCGATCCCCGGTACCAAAAAAAAAATAATAATAATAATAAATTACAGTCTCCCTAACCCTTACGACAATAAAATTATAATTTGAAAAATTCTGCATCATGTATGTAGTGTTATCAAGTAATAAAATTGACAAAATTCATTTCTATTTTAATTTTGTGAAGATCCTTCTAAGCTGAGCTACAAATACACTCAAATGATAAATGAGTCTTAATCAATGTTTTCTTTTTCAGTTCCAAACCGCGTCCGAGTCAGTACTCCATTGACCCAGAGCTGGCCGTCCTTTCCTACTTCCACCCGTCAGAGGGTGTATCAGACACATCTTTTTCCAACAGTGCAGACAGCAGCCTATATTGGAACACTGCCGCCCCTCCAGATCTGAGAAAACCAAGGACAAGAATGTCTGCCACCATGATAAGCCCAGGGGACATGCGTCCACTTATTGAGTCAGAGTTTCCTGTCAATGAGGAAGCAAATGATGCCATCAATTAGAGAACGATGATGTCAAACATAACATCCTCTTGTCAGTCAGAAATGATTTTTGTCACCGACATTAATGTCATGATTTTGGAATGACTGAAACATTTAAATTTTCTGGAGTATGGACTGGGCTTCTCATCACTTAAAAGCAAATAATCATCACAAGGAAATTGATACAGAATCAGATTTATTCAGGGGCAAATACCTTGGAAGATGGAGAGGGGGCTCGTGTTCTCAAGGCTGTATCTTGGGGAACTCGGGGTGCAAACTGCTTTAATATGGAGGGAAAAGAGGAATGGCATGAAGTTTACATGCTGAGGAAATCTTTCAGCATCCTGCGCACGTCTTTCCTTTTAATTCTCTGCAACATCCCAATGGACCAAACACCTTGGGCTGGTTCCTCTGGTTATTTTTAGAGAGACATTTTCTCCAAGTTAAACCTCACAGCTGTTTGCATGCTTTGTTTTAGTTGAGTGACAAGATAGAATAACAAGAAAGAAAACATCAGACGTGATATTATCTGAAGAGCATTTGGTGTTCCGAATACTATAATTCTAAAGAAGGGTTGTTTAGAAGTTAACACCTTTACCACTCAAGTTAAGCGTCTGTCTCTTTAGGATGCTGGACAAAAGGCAGTAACGTCGAAAAGATTAGGGAGGGGAAGGAACTTTATTGAAGGGAAAAGGAGGTGGCCGTGAAAGTAACTATCAAAGACAACTCAAACTAATGGCACTGTTATAATTCCCTGCATTAATTATTCTTCCATTTCCATGGGAAACTGGGTGGTGACCATATTCTGCTTACTTTCTGGTGAATGGGAGTGAACAATGAGATTTTTGTATTTTTTGTTTTGTTTTTTGGTGCCAGGGATCGAATTTATGACCTTACGCTTGCCGGGCAGTTTGTATTGGTTTTGACATGATAAAATGTACACTTTTTAATTCTCTTGTTTCTCCCTGTAGGGAAGAGGTGGTCAAAGGTATTTCCCCCTGTAGTCTCCGTATGCATAATATGAAACTTTCAAACCCAAAGTAGGGTCTCATTACCATTGCTATGAGTGTTAATACTAATTTTAAAATTCCTTCAAACTTAGGTCTGTTCTCAGGAGTCTTCAATGCCTTAGATAAAGGAGGTTTGATGCTTCAAAGTTTATTGGACTCATGCAGCCTGTGGTCTAATTTTATTTTATTTTGTCTTTTTGGTGTCTGATTTTATTAATGATCATTTCTACTTGGGGCAAAGTATTTAATATACAAGTAATATACACTTATACAGATAGTCATTGTACAGCCAAGACATTATCTAAGGACATTCAAAAATGACACCTAACATCATTTTTGAAAAAATTTTTGCAGTCCTGGGTATTGAATCCAGGATCTTCACATAAAGCTACATTCCTAGCTTCTTTTAAACTGTTGTTAGTTTTTGTTTTGAAATGGTCTCACTATGTAGTGCAAATTGGACTTGAACTCACTAGGAGTGCAGGTTGGCCTCAAACATAGCAATCCTCCTATCTCAGCCTCCTGAGTGCTGGGATTACAGACGCAGACCATCATGCCCGCCTGAAAGTTTTTAATTTGAGACAGTCTCACTAAATTGCCTACACCATTCTTTAACTTGTAATTCTCCAAGTCATCCTCCCAGAATGCTGGAATTACAATTATGCACCACCATGCCCAGCTCTATAAGACCATTTTTGCTAGAGTGTTGTGATTCATAACTGTGTAATTACATCTTGGGTATCTGTGTCCTTTTGAATAAATACTGAAGATTCTCTTCTAATGTGGAGGCCCAGGCAGGGTCTGAAAGCAGACCGAAGTATGTCCCACTGTGGATCTGGTGAGGGCTCTAAGTGACGGATCTAAGGTCCTGCTCCTTGAGTGCATCTCCAGGACGGAAGGGTAGGGTGGCTCTTCCACGGGGTGGGTGAACCAGGAAAGAGCAAACTGACGCAAAGCAGTTACAGCGGACTGAATTTTTAAATTCCAGCTTCATTTTCTAATTTAAAAGGTGGCTCACTTAACAAAAACCCTGCAAAGCAGTCTCCAGACACAATTTTAAAAAGACTTAATTTAAGCTCACTTTGGAGTTTTACCCTAATTCAGAGCAGTACAATGGGCAAAACCTTGTCCTGCTTTAAATTGTGACAAAGTTGCCAGAGTCCTTTTAAGGTATGAGCCCTGTTTTCTCTTATTTTCTTTGGATTTCATTCTCTATGATGATGCAGTTTCCACGTTATTTGGAAAGATTTACTCATCTTTTGGGTGAGGAGAAAAAACGATACCCATTTTCACTGTAAATAAACTCCAGTACTCCAAACCTGGGAGTACTTTCTTTGAGCAACTATTTGGTCATGCCAGTTGTCTTCTCAGTTTTATCAGTATTCCTCTACCCAATCTAAGTACATACAAATACTAAAAAAATAAATTAACCAAAATCTACTTGCAGTCTTCAACGAGACATATACCTTTACGTTGTATCCCTAGGATATGTCCACTGGGATATGTTCAATTGAGTTACCTTTAGCACATAAATGGAACCTTGTGTAATCTTTTGGATCATCACTGAAAGATACAGTCCTTTCAAATAAGGATGTCGTAAACCTGTTAACACATCTTTGCCATGATGTGTCCCTTGTGTAATTGTTTAAAAAATCAGATATACCAGGGATTCACAGAGTAAAGCTGTCTTAGGTTATTAATTTTCCATAGTGAGTGTCTATATTAGTGAAGGCCCAATCTTGGCCACATTCCTCATCCTTTACCATGTAATGAGGATTAAATTTAGGTAAGTCCAAACAGGATTTCAAAGCCCTAATAAGCTACTCTGACAAACAGCTTATTTATCAGCTCCTGCTTTCTACTTCCCTCTAGTCATGTCGAATCATCCTTTTGGTATAAGGACAAAGCACAATAGTTCCTTGGTCTGGTATAGCAACTGTTTCAAGTAGGGCCAGAATTTCTATCCGATCTTTGATGTCTTGATTTCTTGAATAGCCTTTCTTTCCAAGTAGTTCTAGGGCATGCACACTCATAAATCCATAACTGGAAGCAGCATAGAAAGATGTGTTTTCATCCTCCCTGTGAAAACTGGAAAGCTGTCGTGAGTGCAGTTCAGCTTTTTGTGCAGAACTGGAAGAGCGTGAGCTTCCGTTACCCAATATCAGTACAACAAACCCAACTCCAAATCATCCTGTTTCCAGGAGGCTGCACTCCTAAAGGAATAGGTCCCAATCAATATCTGTCACACTTCACTTGATAAATCCAGTCTACTTGAATAGACTGTATTGAGAATTTTTAAGCAACTATATTACAAATCAGAGTCAGTTTCTGTTATTGAGAGCAAATGATTGGATTTCTGGCTGTTTGCACTTTTCAAGACAACATTTAGATTGGGCAGTAAAATAGCCTGATATTTGCCCATTGCCTTATTACAAACCAATGGCCTCATTTTGTTATAATAAAGTCAGTACTTGATGAAGAATAAACATTATAATAGTCTTGTGCAGGTGTCTTGGATATGTTTCTCTCATTGCTGAGACAGAGTACCTGATGCCCAAGATTAGGGGAGGGAAGATTTATTTCTTGCAGTTCTTGGAGGTTTCAGTCCATAATCAGATGGCTGCAAGACAGGGTGGCATGGCATTGGGGCAGCACTTCAAGGCAGAAGCCAGAGCAAAAAGAGAAATCAAGCCCTGTATTGTACACAGGCCACCCCCCTGCCTTCAGGACAGGTGTAGCACTCACAAAATCCTTGCCCTCCTTTGCACAAGATGAGGATATTTACAAAGTAAGAATCCTGGCTTCCTGCCGAGGCTCTCAGTTAAAACTTTTCAACTCAAGTTGACGAAGTATATAAACCATAACAACAGGTGAACTTGTTTGCCATTTGCAGAATGTCACAAGTGGCTATGACAGCTCAGAGACAGGATGGCCATCCTCTGTGTATTTGAGTTGTTTGAAGAGATAAGCTACCAGATGAGATGATTCTCTGAACATTTGAGTATCCTAAACCTCTGCTCTGTTCCTCATGGACAGGCAGATAACTTGAAAGACTTTCAAGGAATAGGAATCCACCAGGCTGGCACTGATTGCCTTAGAGCAGGGAACCAAGTAGTTCCAGAGTCTCCAAGGGTGAGTGTTTCTAGGTGCTACATACCTGGGAAAAGAGCCTTAGGTGTCAGCCCTTATTCTTTCTCCCTCCTTCCTTTCAAGAGTGCTGGTGGAGGTGGGTTCTTTCAGGTCATCATGGGCATTTGGAGAGGTCATACAGTTTCTGAAACACTGGGTTGGTGGAGAGCGGTTCCAGAGCTGTTGGAAAAAGTGGTGGGAATGGGCTGGCAGGAGTGGACCGAGGTGCTGCGTGGTCTCCCTGTAAAGTCCAGGTAAGGTCTGCTCCTTGGGTGAGGGACCCAGTGAAGGTCCATGAATAGCATTCACAGGTTTGCTGAAAATCACCGATGTGTGGTCTTAAGTGGTTGATCCTCCCTGGCTTCACCATTGCTCTGTAGGGTTAGTGTAAGGGGTCTCCAGGGCTCTTGTGAAAGGTGAGGTGGGGCAGAGCAAGAGCCAGCAGCTAGATCTTTGTTAATTTTACCAGGAACACAGTAATCACCTATCAAAATCAGCTCTTCCTATCTATATTCCATATGGTGGTCCTGAAAATTAATGTCAGCTATTCTCAACCTGAGGGAAGACTGTATGTGTGCCTTTATGCTGGCTTCTGGTGAGCAGAAAAGATTAAGCTGGGCACAATCTTGTTTTTTTTAAAATTTTTTTCTGATAGTGGCCCCAAAGCAGTATTTAATGGTGCTTTCCAAATCTCAGCAGTCAAATAAACCAACGCATTTCTGGCAGATTATCCAGAAGTCACTGGCCTTCTCAGGTTTACTGAAAGAGAAATTATCTACATCCGACTCCTGGGATAAGTCTCATTCTTGTACCTACTCCTCCCCTCCCTTCTTAGAAGATTACCTTCCCACTTCATTATTTGGGCTCCTTTGTTATTTTTTCCTTTTCAAATTTTTATTAGTGTATGGCATGGTACATAATAAATACATTCATAATGGTGAATTGGTACACAAGCATCACACATCCTAATCCTCGACCCACCCCATGGCACCCCGTTCCCAGATCCCCCTTCCCATCTCCACAAATTCTAGTGTCCTTTTTCCTCTCATCAATCTTTTATTTCCTCTTTGAAATATTTATACTTTATGTTTGTCATATAAGAAAAACCATGCAATATTTAGCCTTCTGTGTCTGAATGATTTTGCTAGGCATTATGC